GGTGGCCAACAAATTGGCTGCTGCTGCTGCTGGGTTGGCACTGGCAGCTGCTGCAGCCAAAGCCCCTGTAGCTGCTGCCTGACTTAGGCCTAAACCTAATGTATTGAGATTATATCCATAGCTGGCTAACGTATTAAGTGCAGAGGTGATGGCCACCAGGTCATTGCCTGTAAAGCCAGATAAAACTGCTGGAAAGGCTGCCACTCCAGCAAGGTTAGCATGTCCTAATAGCCCTGCAGCAGCTGCAGCAGTTGGTAACACTTCAGCAGTGTTTGCATAAGGAGATCCGGTTGGATTGGAATTGGCCACTGGACCTGTGACATTGGCATAACTGATATTGAGACAGCTGCCACTCTGTGGATCCTCTTGTATCTTCTGGATGATAAGTTCAACAGCTTTTCGGTTTTGTTCAGGTTCTCCACTCACAGTGACAACCCTCTCTTGCAAGTTGATCCCATCAGGTTTCTGGGAAAGCTGTACCCAAGCCCCTGACTGCTCCATTATAGCCTTCACTGTAGCACCTCCCTTCCCTATTATCAGACCTGCTGTGCTGTTGGGAACTATAATCTTTACCTGTAATTGAAAAAAATATATATAAATAATACTTCTGCTTTGTGCATAAACACTATAATATTTTTGCTACCCTATAAAAGGAAGGAAAAGAATGAAGCAAGTTAGTTACCATGTTTTTAAAAGAAAGAGTTAAAAAAATTAAAAATAATCACAGCTTATCATGCTTTTTAATGTTCTGCATGTTTCAAATGTATATTAAGAAGAATTAAAGGTAAATTAACAGGAAAATCATTTTTATCATTCTCCCACAGAAAATACTGCTTTCAGCATAGTACAGTTCACACCAAAAGGTTAAGCAAATGCAGCTATTATATTCATATGGAAAGATTATCTTAAATTGTATCAAACTGAGTATTTTCACACGATTCCTCTCTTTCCAGGCAAATGTAGCAAAACAACTTCTTTGGCAAAATTTGTCTGAAATTCTTTACCTTCCTTTAAAACATCTATAGTAGCAATAATTAAAAAAAAAGAAAGAAAGAAAGAAAGAAAGAAACAGAACAAACCAAAACCAAAACAAACAAAAAACCACAACCAAAACAACATTTGGCTAAATCTTGGACAGATGAAATAGCTGGTCTTGAACAGGACATGATCTTGATTCTTTAACCTGTGACCCACATCACTGTATGTAAATTTATTATCTGATACACCGTATTATTATTGTTCAGCCTATGGAAATGAAATTTTACAGGAAAGAGTCTCTAAGAGCTGAGATTTTCAGTATAAAACATGGCATTAGTACATTTAAAAGTTTACCAAAGGGTTTCAAACAAAGGTTATTTACCTATAAATCCTACCTTTTCTTCTGTTTAAACAAGTTTCAAACTGACACAAGATAATTAATGTCAATAAATGTATTACCTATTGACTTACTGTTATGAGTGAAGAATGATGCCCAGGACAAAAATTCAACACTTATACATATTTTTCATAGCTTTTGTTTTTGGTATATATTTTACAAATGTGTCCCAAAGTTTTAATGTACTGTACAATTTAGGACATTGAATTAATAAAGTGTTTTATTTTACAAAAGCATTGCTTTTAGTAGCTTTGTGCTCAGATACACATTCATCTCAATTTTGTGGAATATGTGTAGGGGCAACACTTTTCAGTCCTTTCACCAAAATTCTCTCTAAAGTCTTAGCAACAAAACAATATAAAATACAATTAAATGTTATTAGTAATAGTCTCTTTTTACTGCCTCATTAAAAAGTCAAACTAATTGCAAACCAGTATGCATGCCCTACAAATAAGTTTTTAAAGCTAGAAAAAGCTTAGATATTTCCAGTGGTTATGTTAGCATGAAAATCGTATCTTTGAGAATCCAGCATACTAGAAACTTGAGAAACACTTATATTTTCCACTTACACAACATGTACATTAGAAATAATAATATACTGTATTTTGCACTGGATTGTTTTAAATTATATACATAATTTTTAATTCAGAATTTTGTTGGCATCAACACAGAACATGTTCTATAGAATAAATAAAAAATTATCAGCTGCTGACTTATTCTAAAGGTAAGGTGAAAGAAGGCTATTGAAAAAAAAATTAGTCCACACATATATTAAATAATCCTATAAAAAAATCACTGTATATAATCTTAAATACATAATGACACATTTTATATATGTTTGTAGGCAGACCTAGTTTTAAGTCAGAACACCTCCTCGTAATTTTAAATGTAGTTCAAGGTATTTGGTAATTTTAAGGTAACCTTTTTTAGTTTTGCTGTCATAAAAAGAAAGAAACAACCCTTAGTTTTGGTTAGCTATTTCAGTTCTAAATACAATATACATTAACTAATTGCTAAATAGAAGAATTGTCCAGATTTTTGCAAAATTTTTGGGGGGGTTTGCTTGTTTGGTTTTGGTTTTGGGTGTGTTTTGTTTTTGGTTGTTTTGTTTTATTTGTTTTTTGTTTTGTTTTGTTTTGTTTTGTTTATTTTGTTAACACTAAAAATGCAGCCCTGCACAGCTCTCATTATTATGGTTTTGTGCTGCATACTGTAGAAAACATTTACTTGCCTCCACTGCTTTAAGACACACTAACAGGTTCTGTGGGAGACTTCAGTAAGCAATGTGCATAGTTCTGATCAAGTCAGGCATAAGTGCTTAAGTAAACTGAAGTGAAAAAAACCTAAAAACATAAGAAGGTACAAAAATACACTCTCATAACCATACACGTGATTTCAGAAGTAAATAGGATATTTAATGTCAGGGCAGTATTGTTGCACCTGTAATATTATAGTTACATATGCAACATATGAAAATCCAGGTCACTGTTATATAGCCAGGATTATTCTAAAGGATGGGTGTAGTAAAATAAAGCAATGGCTTAATTCCGGCACAAAATTAAAAAGGAAGTCTCCTCTATGCAACAAGAAAGATTTTCGCAACGTGAAACTGGTACTTTTCTCACTTGATACACAAACGTTCATTAGGTTACCACTAACAGCTCTAGTTGTTCGACAAAATTATCTGTCTCATCAGAGGAAAGATAAAGAATGATCTCCTTCTCCTTACTCACACACTCCCACCTTGTTCAGACATGGTTTTCTATTTAGCATTACAAGCAATACAAAAATTATGCATTTTGAAAAAAAAAACCCATAAAATTTAATATGCTGGATTAATATACGTTTGTCTGCTCCAGAAATAAAGATACCCTTTTCTAAATATCTGATTTAGAAACAGACTATTGTTTCTTTCATTGGCAACTCTCTTAAATGGTATTAGTTTAGGAATATACCAATAATGTCCTTTCAAATACAACCCCTGCCACGGTGAATACTTCATGTATTTACATACAGGATATCTTTTAAAAATATATATGTATTAAATAATAAGACAGTATGCCTCTATTTTATATTAGGACAAAAACATTACATTCCAGTGAAAATTCAGTTTGAACAAAACATAAATACATCTGTACTCATTTTATTTAAAATGTAAGCAATCCTGCTCTTCTTGAAATGAAGAGCAACATTTGTATTATTTTGAGATATTTAGCTGTAACATTCTTGTATTTGTGACAGCTAATTTAAAATTTCATTTAAAATTTTAGATAATTGTTTTTAAAAGCAGAATATATTTAAGATTTTTTTTTTTGTTTAGGAATATTAATCTTGCTACCAGTTGGTAATTCTCCATCTATTTCTTTTATTCATTAAATCTTTCCCTTGTTTGTATATTGGAATATCAAGTCTTTATGGCAAACACTGCTTGTGCTGTATAATAACACAGTATCTAATATATTAGATTGATCACAGCGGAGGTGCCGGTAGAAAATAAATAGTGCAAATATTTTTTTTTTCTTTCCTGTTGAAGCCTAAAACCCATATGGTCACTAAGTAAAAAGGTAGAAAATTATACAAAAGAATTCAGAAAATGAAAAATCAAATATTATCTGTTTGGTTTTGTTACCTGCGTGACCACCATTTTTGAAAAAAGTACTTAACTCCTTGTCTGTCAGGGAAATTGGACAGTGCACTTATTTTCCTTTTACAGATAACGGGTTCAGAAACTGATTGGGATGCAGAAGTGAGAAACTGCTACCCAAAATAAGTGCTCTGAGCTATCCAATAAAGGTATCTTTCACTACGCAGGAAGATTAGGTTTCCAGGTTTGTGTGTATGCTCCTGGCTATATCCAAACTTGTGCTGCAAAAAGGGGATTGAGTATCTGAAGCAATTATTAACATATGCTTACATATGCATAAGAATAAGCACATGTGTAATTTATTTTGTTTAAATGCTATAGGAAGTAAAAAGGGAAGTAACTCAACCTTTATTTCATGTCAAATAAGTTTCATAAAAATGAAGGATTGCAATTATGACATTTGCTTACACAGAAAGCAAATTACTTTCTTCCACAGGCATCACTCTCATTCTATTTGCATTAGCATAAGCAAGTTCAAAATCAGGTTCAACAAATATAATACTTCCCCCAAAAGTCATCCAACTATAACAAATATAATAGAAACAAAGTAATTTCTCTGCATATGTTTTCAGTGAAACAAGACTGTGTCTTTAAAAGCCTTGACAAAAGTCTAAGAAACCTGGGCCGTAAGAAAGGCTCCAACTGGAGAGCAGTTTGCTGCCCTCAGTTCCCAAAGAAATCTGCAAAGATTTGATGCAACTCTGCCCTTCAGATGAAGAGGCCTGGTACTTAAGGGATCTCAACCACTGTGTCCAGAGACACAATTCAAACTGCTTTCAACTTTCACCACATGAGTGGCTCATATAAATCCTAGACTCCTAAATCTGTATCAGCTAATTTCCTAAACCTTTCCCATTTATTGAAAATCCGCTTGCATAAGCCCATGCTGCATTCATATATCATGTCAGAATTGCCTAAAAGTCCTCTGATTTACCAAACTGAAAGTCCTGGCTCAGTTAAGTGAGCAGAATAGCATCTGCTGTGGAATGCCAGATGTTTGGTGATTATGCCCTGCCACTCTCATCCTCCCCAGTGCTGCACTGAGATCATCTGCACTGAGCAGCTCTGAATACACATGAATAAATGCTAAATAGTTTCATGGGAAGACAAACCATGACCAAATCTGCAGTACTACCCATGTCCTGCCAATTCTCATTCCCACTCCTCTCATGTAGAGACTTCCAACAACCCATTGCAAAATTTCACCCATTCCACCCCTTCACTTTTCTACTGCTTTATTTCTTCTCTCTGACAATATTTGGTCTGGTTATATTCCACCTCTCGCAGTCTCTAGTATTGTGGGGATGGCAACCAGAAACTCACACCATACATTCCACCCAGCTAATAGAAAGTCTACACTGATAAATGTAGTGGAAGGATGAAATGCAGGCTAGATAGCAAGAATTAGCACTTGATATGGCTGTTACACCAATTAGAGTAACGGTAAGTTAAGAGGGTTGAAAAACATGGTTTTTGGTTTCAAATTTCACCTGGTGGCATGACACATGCCTGCACTAAATTATACCAGAAGAGAAATATTACTGATTATACAAA